TATATATTTATATCTGCTTAGCTTGAAGCTTACCCTATAAGAATGGACTTAAATGACGAGAATCACTTCAATGTAAAAGCCTCTGAAATGCAGTCATGTGTAGCTTAGAACATAAGCGAAGATATTTTTATTGTGAAAATTCTGATATAAAAGGTAAGGTTTCGGAAATAGGTCTACTGCAAGGAATTATATCTACTTTAGGTCTCATTCCTGGCATACTGATGATTTGCTTATGTGCACTTTTTTCCGGCTACACAGGAATACAGCTTGCGGCTAACTGGACAATGATGCAGAAAAGGTAGTTATTTGTGAAATGTATTCTGTAATGATCTTGAAGGAAAAATTTGTTTCTATGTAGGTGGCCAAAATATCGTAGCGTTTGCCGCAAGCCCTATAGTGAGATGGCATATTGTGCCGTTGGTCCAAAAATGAGGTGCAGGTTGCTTTAACGGTGCACGCAATGCTAGAGAAAAAAAGCGTATTCCAGAGCATTCATAGCGATGATGATTTGTCTTACACAAGTTGGCTTCATAACCGTTCTCGAACTTCTAGCAGCGAAAAACACTTCCGTCTTGTTGAACTTCTTTTTTGGGATTAAGTTAAGTTAATTTGCACAATTTTCAACAATGCCTCAAGAATTTATTTAATTTTTAGGTGAATTTTTGCTGGATGATTATTTGTGTTGGTCTTATCGTTTGGCCGATTACAATGTTAAAAAGTCCAATGCACTTTTGGTCAGTTCTTACAAATAAATTTATAAAGTCTGTTAACTTGATATTTAAAAGCTAACATGCTTGAAACATTTAGGCAGGTGGCTGTATTCTCTGCCTCATCCAGCACTATCGCAATAATCTTGTTAATGGTTGGATACTTCCATGATGCTCCCGTCTGTATGCAGGTGCGTCTTCAATCACATCCCATGTTCGACTATTTTTGAATCTTGGCATTGTTTTTTGCTATTCTTCTCTTCTGCTGTTAATTGAGCCATAGACCAAGATTGTTAACTTTTATTTCGGTTGACGTTTCGGCGTCTTCGCCTTCTTCACACCCTAGAAAGTCGAAAGTATTTGCAATCTACCCTTGCGAACGCCTTATTCAACTACAGAGTCCAATCAACAGCCACAGAGCGAGAAACAGTCTCAGATAAACGAACTAAGTTAGCGCTCATCTTCTTAGCCTTCCAGACAATAGCGACCACCTATAAAGCTGTGCCGGTAGTACTACTATGACCGGATCTCGACCCCGTAGATCACAACCCGCAGAGGGCTTGATAATTCTCGCTCTGTGGCTGTTGTTTGGACTCTGTATGCAAGTGGTTCATTGAGGTAGTAAAATCTGTGGTTGAAAAAACTATTAAGCTCTGATTTTACTTGATCTGTAAATATAACGGTGTTGGATAGTGCTCACATAAAGTAGTGGTGGGTTAAAAAACCTTTTTCCAGAGGTCCTGAACTAGAATTTTGCCAAAATTAGGCGAGCCAGAACATACTAAAGCCGTTTTTTTCCGCAATCAAATCTTAACTTCTGAAAATTCGAGTATAGTTCTCAAGACTAGTAGCATTCTCTCCCTGATACTAACAAGATATTATGTAAGAAGGCATGCTAAGCAGTGAGGCACTCACCATCTTACCAGTATATTAACAGGACTCTCCCGAACGTCAGTTCAACCTGCAAAACTTCTTCATGGCCTATGGAACGATAGTTTTCGCCTATGGAGGTCATGGAGTCTTTCCAACAATTCAGCACGATATGAAAAAGCCACGTCTTTTTGCCAGATCTGTATGGGTAGCCTATATTCGTAAGGAACTCTTCAACTTGACGCACACTTTGCATTCATAGGCGATGTTTTTTTTCAGTCATTTTATTCTACTACCTATCTGTCGGCATCGGTGGTTACCTTGTTTATGGTGGATCCGTTGGAGATGCTGTTATTCATTCTATACAGTTGCAGTGGGTGCAGCAGACGGTGATTATTCCCATAAGTACAAGTGCCTTCTCGGGCATCGTCAAAAAATAAAAATAGTAGTAGTAATAATATTCGTACTCGAACCAGACCAAATCATTCTGTAGCAAATCACCTAACGCCTTCGTTTCCTGAAAGTCGTATTTTACAGGTGAATGTGATGATCTCATTGCATGTCATTACTACGATTGTGATTGCGTTTTCCCCTATGACCCAACAAGTTGAAGCTCTTCTGCGAATATCTCATAGTAAGTAGATTTTGATTATGAAAGT